AATAAAGATATACAGTTACCATGTTTATCTTGTGGGTTGAGTTCCCGGTTTGACGCAAGATCTCCTAAATCCCTAATACCTCTCACATTCGGTTATATCTCCATCTATATAAATACGTGATGAGAAGTAGATTTACAAAACAGACGAAAATACATACAAGAAATTCGTTTTAGGGTTTGCTTGGGGATTTAGAGAGAGTTCTTGAGATCAACTGGAAAACCCAACCCTAGTTCTTCATATCCAAAGATTATATTGAAATCAGGTGTCTAATTGTTCTTTCATGTTTAAGTTTTCTTTTAATCAGATTCGAGATTAAAGATCCAATGTTTATTCTTCTACGTTTATGTTTTTAGTTATCAAAATAACCAACAATTGGTATCAGAACTTACTCGAATCTGTTACTAGAAAAAGTTTGATCGGTTTAAAAGCATCAATTTTTTTTTTCAAACCAACATAGCTTTTCTTTTCATCATTGCGTCGAGATCGCATTTGTTTTCTTATCGGCGATGACAGTAAGACAGTATGGGCATTCGTTTCTCAAGAAAATTATTTGTTTCTTGAATATAATATGTTAATTTAATCTTTTGGTTTGAGACCACTAGCTGCTTTTGCTTGTACTCAAGTTTTCCTCCTTAAAATATGCATACAAATTTTTTTTTGGGTGGAACTCTTAAAATAAAGATATATTATGTTAATATATTTTTTGGGATTTGCTACTTATGTATTTAAGCGGTGTTCACATAGGGTTTGATGCAATAATTAAGGTTTTTAAAAGGAAAATGAATTTTCTTTTATATAATTCTTTTGCATTCCTTTTATTGCAATATTATTTTCTTTTTGTCTAAAGTGCATGCATAAGTTTTGGTCTCAAAACACCTCTATGTATTTTGTTTAGTTGATTTGTGATTTTGGTTTTAAAAGCTTTTCAGCTTTACTATCCACGATACTCATCACACCCATAATATTTTTCTTTGTCTTTTACTTTCATAAATCAATACAATTTTTTGTTATATATCTCTTATTTATAAAAGGAGGTTTAATAGAAATTATTTAAATGTTTGATCTATTTAAATAATTCTTGAAATTATGTGCGATTATATATGTTAAGTTATTAACCAATGACGTGATCATTTATAAGTAATATATATTTAATTACATTTTTGTAACTTATTTTTCATTAAAGAAACAATAATGTTTATTAAATTTACGATTATGTTTCCGTATATACATATATCATGGATAATATTGTTTAATTTAGGCTTCTTTTCAAATCAGTTTCACATAATTGCTTGTTTTGGTGTTGGCATCAAATATTATATAGGTTAATTATTTTCTACCTATTGCCACCTAATGAAAGAGCCTATTTCATGAATCCGTGACTTAATTGTTTACAGTTTTTATAATGTACGGTTTTCCATAATCTATGTCACAAACTAATATCCATTAGTTGCGAAAACTAATCGGCTAAGGGTGTAACGCTCACTTGGTTATATTAATTTGGCATGCAAAGATTTACAAACATAAGTCCATGACAGAAAAAATAAAGTTTATCACTCATGATATTTAATAAACATTATTTTCATGTACATAAAAGCAATTTGACTCTAGATCCTGGGTCAATTCAAATGTATATTTTTATATAGAGGGTTGATTGGTTAATGTTTATTGGCAAAATTTTGCAAAGATTTGATTAATCATAGTAATTAATGAAAACTTATAGTGCTTATACGAAATGTGTTCGTTTCAAAATATTTAGGTTGCCAATAAACTATATTTATGACATTAATTTATTTTCTAAGTATATTAATTGACACAATATATTCTTGTGAAAATTAATTTACAAAGAACTTAAAGTTTTATGGTTTGTGTTTATTAATGCGGATATTAATCGACCCAAAGGTAGATTAATATTTGGTCGGATAAACACATGTTTAATGATAAATATGTGATAATTTTTAGGTTACATGTCGTTAATAAGTCAATCCAAAGAGGGGTTTGTTAATTGACATGATATATTGTCAATTCTTATTATCAAAATTTATAGTTTATGTGTTTATTAATGCGGGTATTAGCCGACCCAAAGGTAGACTGATATTTGGCCGAATAAACATATATGTGGTGATAAATAGGGATGAGCATATGGACCGGGGAACCGGCCGGAACCGGCACCGGCACCGGAACCGGAACCCGATGGAACCGGTCGGGCCGGAACCGGGACGTTATTTTTGTGGATTTTTGGAACCGGGAACCGGTAGGAACCGGAACCGATATAACCGGAACCGGTAGAACCGGCAAAAACCAAAACCGTATGATGCTATTTTTCGAGTACCGGTTCCAACATTTGAAGACACGACAAGAACCGGTAGAACCGGGAACTGGTAGAACCGGAACCGGTAGAACCGCCGAGCCGGTTCGGTTCTTGATTTTGGCCGAAGCCGGTTCCTGGGTCGGGTCCGGTTCGGGCCGGTTCGGTCCTTTTGCTCATCCCTAGTGATAAACATTTGGTGATTTTTTGGTTCCATGTGATTAATAAGTCAATCCAAAGAGGAGCTTGTTAACTGACATGATTTATTGTCAATGTTTATCTATAAAACAAGGTTATCTCTAGCAAGTTAGTATTACTGTCCAAAGACTTGATATTAATGTTGTGTCGATACCTTGTAAATGATGTTATAAATTGAATTTATTGATTACGGTTTATGGATTAATGAGCATAAAAATAGATTTGCTTATGTTTGAATTATGGTATTATATTTGCTAACATTGATCACATTTATGATTCATGTACTCAATGAGATTAACTTTAAGGAATGAAATGAGTGCATTATGTTAGTTCTCAATTGCATGGATATTACCTTGCATTTTGGATAAAACAACATTCTTTGAGGATGTTGAGTTTGGGGGAGAAACAAGGTTAAAACATTGTCCTTAAGGAGGAATCAATATTGATTCCTGTTATGGCTTGCGATAGTATGCAAATTATGAATCAATGATCAACAATTTTATTCAATCTCCTATTCAGAATACACAAACTCAACAACCTCAACTTTGGATATCCTATGCGTGGTACCACATTTTTCATCAATTTTATGTATCTTTTGGTTTTGAGGTAAATACAATAGATGATTTTGTGTACCACATATTAAGTGGGAGTAAATTTATCGTTCTGGTTTTGGGCACATATCTACACAACCCAAGTTTGGATCATAAGATATAGCAAAATGGATTTTGAGATATCTGTATATAACAAAAGGCTATATGCTTAACTCTAGGAAATCAGATGTTTTGGAGATCATTTTTATTAGGAATCTGATTTATTAGATGCCAAAATGGTTATCGATCCATATCAGGATACTTTTACATTTTAGCATGATGAGTCATTTCATGGAATAGACTTCGGTAGCTTCTTCCATAATAGTAGCATAATTTGTAGCATGGAATATGGTTGCGGAAATTTGTCACGAGGCTACACATTATTGGTATTGAAAGACCACTAAAGTTGTGATAATAAGTTTCCTTCTGTTAATACAATAGTGCAAAATGGAAATATATATATATATATATATATATATATATATATATATATATATATATATATATATATATATATATATATATATATATATATATATAAACAAACTCCATAAAAGCGGATCCGCTCATAAAGGGATTACCTCCTTAGGTCTTTCATGAGCATACTACAGTAGTACTACACACGTTGGTGTGATATTTGGTTTTAGTGGGAGTTTTATGGTGCTTTATGTTTTGTTTAAGAACAATTATGCTTTTCTGTACAGAATTAAGAATTCGGTTAACTCCATTATTAGTTTCACTTATTTGAAGTTTGATCTCACTTCAAGTTAAAGAGGAACTCGTTGGAAATCTATTTTGATTTTAAAACCACACATCATGTTTAATCTATGTCGTTAGTTATGTATATGTGACCATTGATGGGTTGAGTTGCGTAAATTGCAACGAAGACCGATTTGATCTTATACTTGTATGATTAGTGGATGAGATTGTTGTTTAAGGTTACCAATACTATGATAACATTCATTAAAGCGCTTATACATTTATATATACATTTATACATTCATGGTCCAGTGGGAGATTGTTGGATATTTTGGGACCACTAATAAATGTACATAAATAATGTTATCATTAATTTTATATTATTATGGAAATTATATAAAATTGTTGATGAACCGATTTTATTAATAAATAAAGATATATACTTACCATGTTTATCTTGTGGGTTGAGTTCCCGGTTTGACTCAAGATCTCCTAAATCCCTAATACCTCTCACATTCGGTTATATCTTCATCTATATAAATACGTGATGAGAAGCAGATTTACAAAACAGACGAAAATACATACAAGAAATTCGTTTTAGGGTTTGCTTGGGAATTTAGAGAGAGTTCTTGATATCAACTGGAAAACCCAACCCTAGTTCTTCATATCCGAAGATTATAATGAAATCAGGTATGTAATCGTTCTTTCATGTTTAAGTTTTCTTTTAATCAGATTCGAGATTAAAGATCCAATGTTTATTCTTCCGCGTTTATATTTTTGGTTATCAAAATAACCAACACTAGCACCTAGCTCACTTGACACTATGTCAAAGCTATTCACACTCGAGCTTTTGGCTACAACGGTGCTGAACCTCATATATCGTCTGTTTGGCGTTTTTTCTAATTGAATACCATATTCATTATTCAAGCTGTGTGGTTGTAGTCTTGTAGATGTACATAACAAACCGAAATTATTTGTTTCATTATAAAGACATTAAATTATCGAGATAACAACATTTAAGATAGGGAATTTGTTGTCATCCACAACTATGTATTTCTTGATTATTATGTAACCACATAAAACTAACGGAACTGATTTTTTTTTTTATCAAAAACCAGAACTTTAATTTGAAAGATGTGTCGAGAATACTTGAAATTTCTTTTATTGCTTCCCGTTTGATGGTAACTAACACAAAGTTACTATCCATCTCATTTACATTGTGCAAGGGGCGATCCACACAAACATTGATCGTGTATGAATGAAGTGTTATCAAACCCTTCAGATCGATACCTTAGTTTCCACGGCGAAGGAATCTCTCCACATAATCTGTTGTAACTTACATTTAAAAACTGTAACATGAACGCTTTAAGTATTTGAGTCGGTATCTTCCCATATATCTTGTTATGTGATATATCCAATGTTACCAAAGTCTCCTCCATGAAACTCACTCGCGAGAAATCAAACTCAAAATTGTTTCGTGAAATGTCAATTACACTAGTACTCTTTATTGCACCAAACAACATCGAGGCATCTCCTGATAAGTTGTTTCTCGATAGATCAATCTGATAGATATTCATTTTCCCAATCGATGTAGGGATCTCACCAGAGAGCATGTTATGAGATAAACTTAGGCCTTGCAAGGCTGGAGAGACAAGATGACCGAATGACTCGGGGATTGACCCCGTGAGTTGATTTCGACTAATGTCTAGCCCAATCATATTTGGCAAAGTAGCTAGAGAGGATGGAATTGGACCTGATAAATTGTTAAATGAAAGATCAAGAATCATGACACTTTTGAGCTCTTCAAGAAATGAAGGGACGTGGCCTGAGACGTTAGTCCAACTTATATCAAAAAATGTGACGTATTTCAATCTTGTCACACCTCGGGGAATTTCGCCTACAAGAAATGGCATCTTGTGCAAGCGAAGTGTCTTCAGATATGTCAAATCACCGATGACATCGGGTATTGTGCCTGCAAGGTTGGAGTTGGTGAGGGAGAAGTCTATAATGCGATTTGTCGTCTCATCACAATCAAATATGTCACAACAGTCACGATCTGACGTCCACATTGGCAAGAGCTGAGGCCCATTTGAAAAGCTGTTTTTGAATTTAAGAATTGCTGCTTTATCGTCCGGGTGACAACGTTCGGCTACTGCAACCGCTGGTGACAACAGGAAGAAAAGTAGTATCAACATAGCAGTGAGTTGATGATATGATCAGAGGAATTATAGAATTGAAATGGAAGGCCATACTCCTTTTAATCCTTTACAGACTAGTTCATATATTGGATCAAGTCAAAATTGGTGAACTGCAAATTTGGACTTTGATTTTGACTTTAGTTATAGTTTTTTGTTTTTTTTGTTTTTTTGTTTAAATCAAAATACAGATAAAAAAAATATTTTATTTGTGTTCTGGTATTTCTTTTTTTATTTTGTAACATCAAAATCTGAAAAAACTTTGAATACATTTTACTTATTAAATTTACTTATAAAATCTTAATTCTTTTTTTTTTGGAAGAAAGAAAAATTTTTAATTCGCCAATTACTTATTTTCTTATTCATGTTTCATTATAAATTAAAGATAAACTGGGTTATAGGTTTTTTACTAATAAGAATATGTTTACTTTTCAAAAAGGTTGTATATCATATAAAATGTGTAAATATTAAAAAGTATTATTATAAGGAGATAAGATCGTGATAAGATGTTGAGTTGGTGGTCATTCATTGTGTTTGACTCTTTGGAGCCGCTTGGAGTTAAGTTTAACCAATGTTATATTCACCGTCGGTCCAAGACAAGTTCAAGAGATGCCTATGATTTGGACTCATCCTCCATTAGGGGTCCAATATTTTTAGCCTTACGTAGTAGTACACTAGTAGCTTTGTCCCTTAGGGCCCAATTTCTTGTTTAGATCTAAAACCAGAACACGTTAGTGTGAAATCAAAATTGAAAGCGGGAATATGATTGAAATTGATTTTGCGCAGACTACGTTTCATTCATACGCGTGAAAATTGATGGCATGAAACGATTCAATTCTTGGTAAATATATCATAATCCCTAGGATATATCTAGAATTAAAAAATCGCATCCTTCAAGTCTTCAAAAAGACAACAACAAATTGTTCCATCTTGCTTCTTTTGTTCTTAAAAAGTAACATCATTCAACACCTTTCTTGTTCATGAAATGCAACCTTCAAACACAACAACCTTCTGTTCAAAAGTCACAACCTTCGAGCTTGAATCGCGACCTTCAAATAACCGAGTATGCTTTGTGCCTTTGAAAGATTTTTACTTTGTAGAGTATGTTTCTAGTTCAGTTTTTTATAGATTCTTAGAGCAATACATTTTGTTTCTCAAGAGTTAAAGAATTTCTTATTTCATTATTTCTAATAATTAGAGGTATTATATGTTTTTTTTATCATTCATAAGAGATAAATGTTGTATATGATTCTGATATTAACATCTCTTTTGGTTTTCTTTTTTACAGAATTTTAGTTTTAGTCGGTCATCCAAAATCCAGATTTACATATGTTTTAAGAGGTAAACCACAAATAATGTTAGTAGTTCCATATTTTACAAATTTTAAAAAGGTAATTAACAATTCTGATTATATCATATTATCAATTTTGGATTTTAAATTCCAGACATCAATTTTTTATTTGTTTGCCTTTGTGTATCAGAATTTTACATTTCACTTTTCATATTGATTTTTCAAGGGCGGTAAAAAAGAAAATTGCACATAAGGTGTTTTCCTGATACATCTATTATAGAGAGGTTGAGTTCAAATATTAAAAGGATGTTAAATTTTAAGTAGAAACGAGTTTAAATTTTTGTGTACTATTTTGAACGAATTTTTGTTTTTTATAAATATATTAAACGGATGATATGTAGATGTTGTGATATGTCGGAGACGGTAGTGCAGAGATTGCCTGTAAGGTTAGTGCAGATGCCCTCTCCTGATATCACAGTACAAAAATGAAAAGTAGATCGTTAGTCGACGTCTGGGATGGATTCCCAGGACGAAGCTCCGACGATCTAGTTAGTGTTTTCTCAGGGAAAAGAAAGAATATTCACTTGAAAGAGAGTTATCCCCTTCCCACGAGGAAGAAGGATCCTTTTATACCTGGTTCCAGAGGCATGTGGACCTCAACTGATTCTGTTGAACATTCCTTCGGGGGTCGTGACGTGGCGGACTCTTACTGGGAGATCCTTTGTCACGTCCTTTTTGCATACTCTCCCCATTGGCTAGAGGAGGATCTTTCGGTTATTATGGTGATCGTCTGACGAGCGCGTGGGACGCTCTGAATGGTCTCACGCCCGCCGGGATGTTATCCCTTGGTGAGGAGATTATAGCGCTGCTCTACGCTATAACCGTCACGCTTATGTCTTTCGTGTTGGCGAAGTCCCGACCTTGACCTTGGACTTGATCCGGCTGAGGTCAGCTCACGCCAAGCCCGATACTAGTTTTGACTTTTATTTTTGACGTTTCCTCTGAGGGATACGTTAGCAAGTCCCTTAGGCTTGTAGGCTTTTGTGTAGTTCTGATAGCATCGACGTTCGAACCTATATCTCAACACGTGTACGCCAGGGATTATTTCTAACTTGAAACGGGTTTTTGATAGTACCGTCATCGTACGCTAGCCCCGAGAAAATGGGGACAGTTCGTGCTGCCAGTTTTGTCTTTAAAGTTCCCCCCCCCCCTTTTCAAGGTCGTCCATCCTCATTGTCTATCTCTGCTTCCTCTGCATCATCTTGGGTGTTCTACAAGTTTTCCTTTTTTATCATTCGTTCGTTCTAGGCCATGGATCATCATGGTAAAGTCCCTAGTGTGGAGGAATTCCAGCTCCTACAGGATCGCTTCGGTTTCTTACCGGAGCATGGCGTAATGATCCCGACAAAGGGGGTACCAATCCATGACTGCCCTCAAGGGAAAGTAGGAGTTCTGACCCATTTGTTCAAAGCGGGGTTGTGCTTGCCGATGTCTGATTTCTTCAACATGATTGTGGACCACTATGGCTTCTCGGTCGACGAATTGACTCCGAGCGTCGTCAATAAAATTATCGGTTTTGAACTGATTTTTCGATCTTTAGGTTATATCCCCACCTTCTGGGTTTTCAGCTACTTCTTTTTTCGACTACGAATTCTGGTGTTCATACTTTGGCAAAAAGGCAGGGTATTCACCAGCTAATCTCTGAACAAGGCGTCCCGAAGAAAATTGGCAACGCCAATGGCTCTGGGTTAACCAGGACCTTGTGGGGCGCGGGTATCGCAAAACACGAGACTTCTCTGATCGCATTCCCAAATTATTCGGGAGCAACCTAACCCTCTGCAAGCGACTAGGTGGCATTGTTGTTGTTGGAGAAAATTGGGAGGATTTCGTTCTTGCTGCGGCTGGTATGAGTGCCGCCTGGTGAGCCCGTGGGAAGATGCCCAATTGTTCTTTGTGAGATGCGGTATTCTTTTTCTTCTTTCTTCTTTTCCCTCCCCCCTTTTTTTGAAGAAAGAAGGGAGGAGGAGTAAGGTATCTGATGAGTCCTTATACTCACTTCTTATTTGTGCAGGTGCTAAAGCTAAGATTTCTTTGGAGATGGCCTTGCGTGGCCACTGTCGGGGTAAGCTTTATCATCGGGAGGTTGATCTTGTAGATGTTCTTCCCCCTCCCGTATCTGAAAGGCGTATGCTAGAGCTAGCCAGATTACTCTCCGTGGAATGGGGAAATGTTGGTTCTAGCGGGCCAGTATTGCCATCCCGTCCGGCCGTCGAAGTCGTTTCCCCGGCTCGTCCATTGAATCTTGTTCCTTGTTGTCCGTCTATAGGCGCACAAGCTGGGGAAGTTACTGTTCCTGCCCGAAAAAGGCGAAGTGTGCGTGTGGTGCCATCATCAGAGGAGGAGACAGAATTCGATGATGTGGGTCTTCGTCCTCGAAAAGTACGCAGGACCGTATCTATGAGCAAGCTTCTTGGAAGCGTCGGGGATGTTCTTGGCAACAAGTTCACAATGCCTGTGTAGAGAAATAAAATGGTGATCCCTGGCTCTGCGATGTCACCCCCTCTATTTTTTGCCACAGCCTCCCCGATTGGGCTTGGTTCTGACCCCACATTTGGAAGTGCATTGGGTTCACCGGGAGGTTCTGTTCAGTCAAAGAAGCCTTTAGCGGAGGGCAGAATAGGAACTGCACCTAGCTCCTCATGTTCCAAAACTTATGTCCCAAGTTGGACGATTACTGGGCATTCTTTATTGTCGGATGATGCCAGTGCCCAGGAATGGAGTCTTTATGCTCACTCCCCGGCTACGATGAGATTTCTTGCGGGCAAATCTGGGGTTCAAGCTGTTGGTGACCATTGTTATACTGCAGTCCAGGCTTCTGCTTTGATGGTTGCAGCCGCCGACCAGGTTTGCCATGTCGGGGCGACCGAGGTTCAGCTGAGACCTTTGCGCAATACCATTGTAAGCCTGAAGGATGAGCTCCGGGATGCATAGGCCGAGCATCACGTTCTTTTTGAATAGAATTGCGTTGTAGCCTGTGAGAGAGCCATTCTGGAGGGGCACGTGCTTACTCTGGAAGACCAAACAGAGCGCCTCGAGGATCAAGTAAGTGTTCTGACCCGGGAAAAAACGTGTTGGCGAATAGATTGGCCTGGTGCCAGCGTCAACTGGCTCGAGCACGTGTCGATGGTGCTATTGTTCGGGGTGAACTGCAATGGGTGCTAGAGAAAGGAGTTATTCGTGCGATCTACAGAGTCATTGAGAGTATTGAATTCACCAAGGGGGTCCAGGGTGTTTGTGAGGCTTGTGAGGCGCTTGGGTTCGAGAAGGGGAGACAACTGGTTGGGTGCTCTACATCTTCGGGTAAATCTGAAGTTCTGGGTCCTGACCAAGTGGCGAGCAGAGCCAAGAAAGTCAACACTACCCTTATGTCTTTTGTCGAGATGGATTTTGTTGGCCTCTTCCGTTTAGGAGAATTAGATTATGATGGCTTCCGCCAGTTTTGTGGCGAGCGGGGCCTGGAAGGTTCCTCCTCAGACTCTGAGGACTGATTTGTATATGCTCCTAGTTGTTTTTGAAATAGATATGCCTTTCCATGTATTGTTTGCAAGGGAAGGGAGTGTACATTTTGTCATGTATTGTCGTGGAAGTGCTCTCTTCCTTTTTACTTTTGTCATGCGTGTATGTACACTTAGATCTTTCCTGTAATAAA